CCTTCGCTCCGATAAAGCGTCTATAGCAAATACCTTTCTGATCATTTTTTTTTTTTTTTTTTTTTTTTTTTTGGGGGGGGGGGGGGTTCCAGGAAGGCTTTGCAAGCTTTGCACACTTCCATGATGACATATCCAGTTTAGAGGTTTTCAATAACACAATACACACACACGCGCGCGCACACACACACACACACTCCTTCACTAATTTGAAGCCCATGTTTGAATTTAATGAAGTTATTCCCCTCTGAATAATGAAATGGCGGTGCAGTGCTCTTCAGACTGCGAAGGTAATAGATAAAACTGACAGTTATAAAGTTGGGTTGTTGAACTGATACCCCTAACCTGTGATCATAAGTGGTGTGTGTGTGTGTGTTTCAATAGGTGTGGTCTAGTGAGTCCTTAAACCTAAGGGCTGAACTCACCTGTGCTACTGTTGCATGTTTTGAAGGTTTGCTCCTCCCCTTCAGTATCCATCTGTAAGAAAATCATCAAATATGCTGATGATATTCCAAATTATTTCTTCATTTGCTAATTCTGGTGTCAAATTAAATATAACAAAATGTCCCACAATTTACTCACACAAAAATAGGAATAAATGCAGGAATAAATACAGAATAAAATAAGTAAAATACAATGAGAGGATAACATTATCAGTAAAGCAGCACTTTTAAAACTATCAAGGTTCTCATAATTAACTCAAGTCAAAAAGCAATGATAAAAGAATTTTAATCTGATGTTTAAATGAATATATGGTCTGAACAGTATAGACGTGTATAAAAAAAAAGCAATTGCATTATTAATAAATGAAACCTCAGTCACCTCTATAGTTTAGTTTGAAACTCAGGGCATCCATGAGAAACTTGTTGATTGGCCCAAGTGCTTTTCAAAGTGTATGAATTATCCCATAAATAAGACGAGGTCATATCATTTAAAAATTAAATCCATACAGAAATGTTAAAATCGGCACAGAAACTGAAGCCAATTCTAAGCTTTTAGGACCAAAGTCATGTTGTAATGCTTTTTTTTTTTTTGGCTTCAAGTTAAAAGGCAAACATTTCTTAAATAAGATTAGAAAACATTATTTTTTTTTTGTCTTTTTTAGGGTTTTAGCTGATAAACTGGGAGTCTCAAGGCCCACTTAGCCATATTTGTGCGCAGTACCACAAACAACTTCTAAAACACTGGTAACATGTAAACAAACCAAGCAGCATTTGGGGGAAAAAAAAAAAAAAGTTCTGCAAGAGTGAGAAAATCATAATGACACAAAATAATGACATTTAAGTACAGACAGGACCTCATAGTGTGTGTTTAGACAAAAATAGTTGCTAAAAACCATCTACTCTCACTGACTGTTGCTTGTGGATCCCAAATAAAACCTATTAAACATAATTATTCCGGGATGGTGGCGGTGTATAGTGGTCACAGGCCAGTGAAATCTGTGAGTCATAGGATATGCTGTTACTTTTCTCTGGTAATGGGAAACATGACTCCTCTCTCTCGTTTGCTGTTGTGATTGAAGGCACTGACCTGTCATACATTTATAATAGGGGAGCAGGTGTGGCAGTGATGGACCTTAATTTCCTTTAATAAACCTTTTATGTGCCACACTCTTAATGCCACGCCGGGCCCTCAGAGGTCCTGCTCATAATAGGTTCATTACTTTTGATTACTACAGCCTATTGAGACAAACAACTCCAAAACACTATAGATTACGTTCTGTAAAAAATGAGTGTAGCTCATTAGGTTATAACACTTTCCCAAACAGACACACTTCGATATTTTTGTATAAATGTTTTGGGTCCAAACACAAAATATTTTCTTCACATCACCCAACCTGTGATTTCAACACGGATGTAATTCGGTCCGAGTCCAACTGATGTTATTAGTGTAGGTAAACATCCACAACATTGGAATATTGTGGACTTTTTTTTTTAAATCTCTTTCTTTGAATGATAGTTTACATAGACCCCTGTATTAATATACAAAAAAAACAGGTGATTATAGAACAAAGCATAACTTTAATATTTACAAATGTAAAGCTTGTTATTATTTATTTATTTATTTATTTATTTGTTTATTTATTTATCCAGAAGTTTTTTTTCAGTTTTATTGTTTTATTTTTTTTAATCCAAGTAAATTATTTTTTTTATTTACACACTTAATAAAAGGTTCACACGACATTTTGCACATCTCTCTCTGTATGGATAATCACCCATCAGGAGAAGATAGGCTATGGTTTGATACAAAAAGTGAAACATGTTCCAATACTAATGGCTTATTTCATTTTTACTATGTCTGTCTTTGTTTGATATTGTACATTTTTAATAGGTTAAGCCGACTCTGCAAGAAAACCTATGGATGTCAGGATTTACTTATCTGCCTTGACTTCAAGCATGTCAGTGGAGTTGATCTTTATGATTAACTCTGCTTTTACATATTGTGAATTGTGAAATTAATTAAGTCTATTTCAAATGTTTTCACCTATTTTAATACACATGTTTTAAGGCTATAGCCCAAAACAAAAACAGAAATCTTCCTGCTGAAGCAGTTTTGAATCAAGCAAAAATATATATTTATATATAATTGATATAAAAAAAGAGAATCCAAAGTGTGTGATGTGTTTGTAGTCCAAAAGTAGTTGAAGTTCTTAATTTTGATACATTTAGCAATGGAAAATAAATAATTTTCTAGAATTTGGCTTGCCAATCGAGAAATTATTGATAATTCCCGATTTTTTTTATTATTATTTATCCCTAAATATTAACTTTAGTTAGCTATTTCTTTCACCATAAAACAAAATTCATCTGAGACAATAATGCAACTACAGTCCTTCATTACGTCAAAAAAGCAAGTTCAACTACATTAAAGAGTTTATTATCTGCCAGCCTCCCACACTCTCCTGATAAGTAAAAACCTATCTCGGACTGTGATCAGTGCAGTCGAAAGAGCACTGACTCTCCTCCACTCACAGACTGAAGCCTATTCAAACAGTTACATAATCTTTGTGTCTTTTTTCCATCATCTAGCAAAACTACATACAAAACTTTGCTCTACGACAGACCATTCACCTTTGATTGCGGTTTTCCGGGTGCACTGAAGGATAAGATGCCAGATCCACACTGTTCACCCGGGCTGCTGTTTTCAAGTTTGTTTTCTCTCAGGAAGTGATCGTGTAATTCATTATCTGTGACAGAAAACACAAAAGAAGATACACTTTTGAGGTATTGGCTGAAACTTTTTCTTAGAGGGAAAACTGTGCGAGATCTGGAAGGATTTTATGAATTCGTCTGTGGTTTCACGGTGTGGAAGCGTTCACTTTCATATCTCCAAAGGAATAAGGAAGAGAATGCAAATTGATTGCTTGACAGAGATCAAATTGCTTGCTACTAATTAATACAAAACATCCAAGAGGGAAAACAAGGATGAACACAATGAGTACATTAAGTCTCTTCACTTCACAGATCTTATTATAGAATTATTTATTTCTGTTAGCTTTGGAGAAAGGAAAAAAAGAGAGAAAAAGCACACATCTTCTTAATTATAGCTCACAGAGCATTTCCCCAGAAAAACAAAATTGGGGTGGGGGGGAGAGAGGAGGGGGTCGCTAGGGGGGTTATTCACACAGTTAGATTTGCATATGAATTAAGACTTAGCCTACTACTATTCTGGCTGGTTCGTCATCTGCTGAATCATATTTAAACCCCCAAAACACACACACACACACACACAGGCACACAGTCACACAGTCACGCCCCAACATAAGTAATGTTTCTCAGAGGCCAGATTTCTCTGGGGGGGACAAAAACTGAAGCAGCCTGATGCTGAGGGTCTACGAGACTTTCAGTGTGTTAATCTGGCTGCTAACTGTCCTTGAGCCCAGCCCATTTCCCCCCCAACCCCATCTGCCAGCATTCCCACTGCAGAGGAGGAGAATGGGTTACAATTGTGGGAGGGGGGCATATAGGGGTTGGGGTTTGTGGGGGGTGTGGAGTGGGGGAGGCAGAAAAGAGAGAGACCTTCCCAGTCCAGCAATCATGAATAACCATTGCCTTGCACCATTATCAGGGGACCCTGGATCCAAGCTGGAGATGTAAGAGAGAGCAAACGCGTGCGCTCGGCGATCTGGACATTACTCTCACATTTTGGTTGTTAGTGATGCTATTATTATTATTTTCATATTACGCTTTATTAATACTCTCCAGCTGCCGTGGATATTCATCACTGACCTTGAGTGTTTGTGTGTGTGTGTGTAGGTGTGTGTGTGTGTGTGTAGGTGTGTGTGTGAGTGTGTGTCCTGCCTCAGTTCCCAGCTTATCCGTCCACTTGGGATGCTCTCGTGTAATTAACACAAACATTATTGTGACGGAGTAAAAAAAAAAAAAAAACAACTCTGTGCTGATACCTCATCTTGAAAACAATAAAGCATGCCAGAGTAGCAAAGTAAGATTCTGGAGAGCACAAAATTAATTACATTATTTACATTTCCTTTAGATAAGGGGGTACAGGCGATATGATGGAGGCAAATGAGATTACACAAAATAAGATTTCAAAATGTCAGAGCTGCACTCCCAACCAACCAACTGTTATGATTAGATTACTCTTTTAATATAATTACTGTCTAAGGCCGTGTGTGTGGAAACAATGCATACATAAAAAACAGCAGCCGCGTATTAACTGATTCCCCCCCCCTCTCTCTCTCCCCGTCCCTTTTCTCTCTGAGTCTTTTTCTCTTAACCTTTCTTCAACAGTATCATTTTGAATTATAGGGAACGGATGGGTGCTCTGCACAAGGTCACTGTCTGGTGTGCACTCGCAACTCCCACCCCTCCACCCCCTCTTTTGCTCCTGTCTTGTTTTTGTTTCCTCTTCCAGAAGCGCACTGAGCGAAGGGTTAAAACTGGAATGGATTTAATTATGGAATGAATGGAATTATAATGCGCCTGCAGCAAGTTTTCCTCCTTATTTATTAAAGCAGCTGATGGGCCAGGTTTGATGAGCCACTTCTGGCATAATTGAGTCATCACACAAAGAGGGTTCCTCGCATTCAGAGTGGTTTTATCAGCAGCAAACAGACCTGATTACTGGCAATTACACTCTGATCTAGGGGAAGGAGAAAAAAGGGTAAATGTGCGGGGTAACGTTTTGTGTTTATAGTTTACCCCGGGAATAATTTTCACATTAATTTTACATGCTAAGTGTTTTCTGTTTATGTATAATAAAGAGCAAACGGCAGGAGATAGGACCTTTTACTTTCATATTTCCTTGTAATGAAGGTCTATGGGGGATATAGTTAATTGATCGCAATTCATACTTACACCATAGGTGGGTTTTTTTAGTGTAAAGAAAGTGAGCTCAGTCTGTTTTAGCTCCAGCAGCAAGGTGCGCTAGCCGCAACATACCTGTTTGGATAAGGCTCACACCTCTTCCTGGGCAAGCTGGTGATTGCTTTTGCCATTTTTCATTGAGATGCAAATAGATTCATGGAAAGTAAATTAAGCCTTGGTCAGACAGTGAAATCAACTTCTGTTCAGAGAGTATTTAGATAAACAACTTTGTGTTGTGCGTGTGTGCGTGCGTGTGCATGCGCGTTTGTGTGTGTGTGTGTGTGTGTGTAGTGGGGGTGGTGGGGGGTTGTTATCTTCTTTTGTGTGAGGTGGCCATGAAGCCATCAGACATTCTCTGTCTAAATACCAGCTGGACAGTCCAATAACTGGAAAATAAATTAGGAGGGAAGATGGGTCACAAAATGTCTGTGTTTAATTTTAGGCTTTTTCCTCCTCTTGAATTTCACAACAGGTGATTGATCAGTACATGGATACTACAGGTGTGGGCTGATTACTTGTATTATTGTATACACATATTTTTTAAAAGTTGTAGATTTAAAACTGCACATTTTTTCCCCATCACTGTTCCTATGGTTTATAGTGCTTTTATGCAAAAGCCAGAATCAGAGCAGAAGTGGAGGAAGTTTTCACTTATTGTATAAAGCATAGTGCAGCTTTGCCCCTCCTCAAATTGTTGCTGCACACAGCTATTCAATTGAGTGAATGGAGGCTACCAGACTTACCCCTCACTTTAAAGTAATACAAACAAAGTTTTCTGTGGCTGTTTGAGGCGTACAGGTGTGCAGCCTTGCCCCCACCCACATGGTTCTTATACACACTGCCGATCAATTGATTTAAAGAAGACATATATACCTCTTATAAGAATTTATTTATTTTTTCTCTGCACATCCTCGCCTAACTTTTCCTGCACACCACTGGCCCACAGTCTGGAAGACGGCTGCTGCACTTATGCCTCTCTTACAAGAAAGACAAATTCAGTTATGTTGTGGAGATTAAAAGTAGGGCCACCTATTGGTCTTATTAAGGTAATCTTGTTTGAAAACAACACTTGGCAGGCATTGTGTGTCTGTTAAGCAGATGACTGCCGCCTGGCTACCTGTGCAGGAAGTCTGACTAATTATCCTACTAATGTCTGCTTGTTATACTTTGGCAAATACTACTAAATTTAGAGGTTGTTTATATTTATGCTTGAGCCCATGCATAGAAATTATTTTTCACTGAATAATTATAATTGATAATATCGTTCTGTGTCCTGTGGTCTAAATATGCAAGATTGTAAAAGATTAATATTTTTACTAAAGGGTATGCCATGATAATATCATACTGGCTCATATCCAGTAAAGATTAACTGATAATTCCTTAAAACAAAACTCTGATGCCAAGTTTATTTTATTTTCCCATTTTTCAATTATATCATACAAAAAAAAATGCTAAGTAGTCTTGAACTTTTTGAGATTTGTTTCAGTGGTAAAAATGAAAGTAAAGATCTTTATGTGCTTGCTTCAGAGAAAAGAAAAAAAAAAGCTTCATCTTAAAAAAAACCCTGCCAACAATTTATGAGCATTCCTCTGTGTAAAGGAGTTTAGTGGTTTCATGCAGACACAGGCAAAATCCTGAAGTCAACTGCGATTTCAGATATAACAGCCTCACAGCTATCCTGACGGCCAAGCAAAGTGTTTGTGCCTTTTGCCAAAGTGTACTTTTATAGAGAAGCGTATTGGCATCTCATCACTTCTCCAAGACAGAGACGCTTCAATAAAGGAGCACAGCTCACAGAATTCTTAACAGACAATTAGGAGGCTGGCTAGAAGCTATCGCTTCAATGATTTGTTATGATGGCAAAACTACAGGGGAAACTTGTTGTTGGACAGAGTTAGCAGGAGTCCCATGAAAGAGTCAGATGGTGACACCTTTGCCGAGGTGATTTATGAATCTTGTAATCGCGTTCCAAAGTCATCCCAAAGCCTTTCCTTCTAAATTGGGTTCATCTGGAGCCGGACCACACAGAGGCACCGAGTCCAGATTGTTTCTTCTGACATCAAAGAGCCAATTTCAGTTTTTGACCGCATTTCTGCTGCTTTTAGTCCCCTTATCTTATAAAAAGGGTCTAGATGATATGCTATTTTATTTGTGAATTTCAATCCAATTAGGGACACCAAAATATTGAAACATGTAAAATTTGTATCCTCCTCCTCTAAGCCATTCATCAATAGCGTAATAAATTGAGCGGCGCGCAATTCATCCACTGGCAAGTGTCCAGCTTGTCAAACAGCTCCTGTGTTGGGCCGAATCTTTGAATTCTATCATGAGCATGCTTTTTCAAACCTGTCTAATTTGGGGACAGGTGTTTGGGTGAAAAAAAAGAACTTCCAGCTCTGGTGCGACAATGAGCAGAGTAATCCCGTTCATTGTCCCTGCCCAAGGAGCCCCTTTTCATGGAGGAGGTCGCATGAAAGCTACCAGGTGGTCTGCAATTTGGAGAAACGTAGTAACCGCTCCGGCTAATCCCCCCCTTTCTGTCACAAAAGGCAGGTCTCCAGTGCTCCGGGGGACTCTCGGGGGGGGGCAAAAGGGAAAAGTTTACAATGCTCACAGAGGGTCTGAAAGGAGTCAGGGACTCGAGTGGTGATTCCTAATCAGATTGCACTGAAGTGAACAGCTCGCATGGCAGCTGTAGTTTTCCCAGGGTTAATTACCTTTCACTGCTCTCTCTAAATGAGTCAGCTGTTCCTGTCATTAAACAACTCCACTCTATCTCTGCTCCCGTGTCCTCCTCACACATGTGCACACGTGAACACACACTAACCGACGCTATTTTAAACGCGTTCGGTATAGCGATCAAAGCCCGTTCAAAAATATCAATTATTCGAGAAATGTGAGGTCTTTGATCAATTTCCTTACCACTTAGTGGACATTGGAGAGCAATTTCAGATTGGTGTATTTTGATTTGCGCCGCTGATTTTTATGCATATGGGAGGCAGTGGTCCCAGTGCACCTCCCATCCACACTGATTCAGAACAATAATACCAGTCTGTCAAGGTCTCATTGTAAACGGTTCCCGTTGTACTAATGGAACACATAAAGGAGCACACATGCTCACATATGTGCACATGCAAACACTAGCATACGCACACACACCACCAACACATGCACAGTCCAGCTCGAAACATAGATGTTCTGTCATCAATTCTGAACAATCTGTCTGCTCGCCGAGCTCAGCGGCTCAGGATGTTGGGGGAGTTTTAAGTGAATTTTGCCACTGTATGGTAAAATCCCTTGGCCACCTGGATTACAAACTCTAGTCCTTTAACTCATGCCAGTATAAATCCGTGTTAACTCGGATTTACCTCTGGCATATGAATTCTCAATCTGCGTAAGCTTTGTTTGGAATGAGTCGAACATAAGTATTTTGTGCCGTTAACGATGCCCGGTGGTGAATTTTTCTTCTTTTTTTTTCTTTTTTTTTTTCGATGAAACACACACCGGGGAGATGGTTTGGGACTAAATTAGTTATTAGAACAACTTGAGAGGACTCAAGCAGAGTTTTATTACAGTCGATATGTGACACTGGTGTGGCCCTTCACATCCAGGTGGAAGTGCGCAACACTGCACTGTGAAAGCCATGTAACCAAGGCAACCAGCATAAACTCAGAAAGGGTACACTGTGAACAAGAGTTTAAGCTACAAATAAGCATTTGGGTCACTTATGGCAGATCTTGTTCTCTTGCACTCTGAAGTTAAAAGGTTAACAATAAATAGAAAATGTTATTTTGAGAATAAAGTCTAAATGTTTACCAAAAAAATCAGTCAAAAGTCAAAAATGAAAGTTTCGTTTCATTAGTAAAGTCAACATGTTTGAAGTAAACAAAATGCTGACACTCCTTTGCTCTATTAAAGCATTTTAATTATTCATGATGTAGCTACTGCTGGTCTTTTTGCTCGATTTATTGACTGCAATTTTATTATCATTTCCTCTTCATCCCAGCTTTATTCACAATATTTAGTATTTAGTGAATACTTTTTTTTTTCCACATTTTCAATTTTTTTCTGTACACAATAATGACTTTTTATCTGACCATTCTACTAAATTAATCTTGCAATTGAGTCTTTTTTTATGGAAATAGTTTATAAAGTTTTCCATGTCATTATAATTTCTTGAACAATTGTCTTGACCTTCTATTTAGTAATTGTTGTCATTTGCATTTTTGGTTGAAAATTATTTTTGATTATTATTATTATTTTTTTCATTTAAACTCGTTTCTTTTTATTTGGACTTTTCTTGGAAGTGCTTCGACTCTTTTTCTTGTAATTTTGACATGTCTTAAAGAAATCAGTTTGACTTCTTGAAAAAATATTTTGGCATTTTTCTTGTCATTCCAACATTTCTTCAAAAAATATTTAGACTTTTTTATTATAATCTGTGTGTTTTGATCAATTTCTTAACTCAAAACAGACCATCAACAAAGAAACCCTTGCTATTGTTTGCTATTCATCAACCGACCTTTGTACTCTGTCTTTGTAAACTGGCCCTAACATTTATATTTACTTTTTAAAACATCAATCCGGGTCTGCAACCACAGCCATGATAAAATAAAACGTGGCAAAAGCAGCCTGGAGGATCTAAATTAAGTATTATCCAATCTCTAACACTCACACACACACACCCACGCAGACACAGACACAGACACACACTTCTGAGTTAAGCCAGACTATTTTGTACTTAAAAGGTTAGCAGGGCTGTTTTGTGAGTTTGATCTGTACTTGCCAAATCAGCAGATGGTCCATGAATATGATTATATGCATCAATAAAGGGAGTAATCTTTGACAAAATGTAAATTTGACTTAAGTCCAGGCTTTAATATACACCATGGACTTTAACCCACTTTCGAGCTTGACACAAGAGCACGATATGCCAAGGCACTTGAATTTTGTACACTGATGTTCTAGTCTAGTGCTACTATTCTGGGGATTTGAAAAACAGAGCCAGGCAGTAGGTAAAAAAGATCCACACAGTCTAATTTGCCTGTGTATGGGGAATAGGCATCTTATATTGCTAAGTGTGCAACTGAGCAGTTCGGTAATTGATTCAAACTGAGCTCCAGTGCTTTACAAAACAATCTTTTGAGCAGCTCTCCTCTTTTCCGTTAAACACTTTGCTTTTAGGGTAAACCTTTTTTTAAAAAAAAGACTAAACTAAAACATCTTAGAGTTTTAGCATCAACCAGTATTATTTACTGATCAGAAAGCAAGTCTTGTAGACAAGAAAATAAAGTTGACAGCTTACTGAAAGTTTAAGCAGCAATTCAGAAGTTCAAAATGACAAACTAAAATGTGCTAGTCTTACCCTGAGTCCCTATTTAAGAAATAAAATAAAATGAGTAAAGCATCCCCTGTTATTGACCCGGTCATCAATCCACTTATCTGAGCCTGAGGCTTACACAGCACAGCGCATCCTTACGCAGACAAACAGAATCACTTGTCTCCCCGACGTCTGAACGCTCTCGTGTTAACATGTCCGACAGGGCAGAATCACAAGCTTGACTTACCAAGCCCCTTTTAGCCTTTGTTTTTCATCTCTCGGGGACATCAGGGAGGAGACGGAGCAGAAGGATATCGAGGTGGGGTTACGGGGTAGTCCACGGTGTCGCTGCTGCGAGAGCGCGTTTGGTTGTCGCGTGTACGTGTGTGTGTGCGTGTTCGTGTGTGTGTGTGCAGAGACCCTGTGATATTCCCCCAAAATGCTTTTTTTTTTCCTTTCTTTTTTTTTTCAGGGTAGCCTTTGTGTCGTTTACTTAACAACCAATCTCATTAGCTGCTGGGCTACAGTGGGCTGAATTATTTTCTGTGTAAATACAGCACTTGGTGATCCTCAAGGTAAAACCTCTAAAGGTTCTTTTTTATGACATAAATCACAGATTCACATCAGAATTAAGAGCAAGACTCGTTTCTGGAAAAAAAATAGAGAGAACTAAATGCAACAGTTATTATCTCTGCCTTTAGGTGAGAAATTTCACAATTAAAATTCATAAGTGAAAGTATATCACTTTAATAAAATAATTTATATATTCATGCAGTCTTAATTGATAATGCCTAAAATGAAATAGAGAGAATTGGAGGATGTTAAACTCAGGTCCCAGGATTTGGAAGTAAATGATGTGGAAAAAAAAGTACAAATAGTTTGTGCAAATACTTATTTATTTATTTTTTTATGTGTTTATTTTTAGCTGTGCCTGTTGGTGCAGAACGCCTAGAAAATGTAGCCATTGTAAGTACTTGAAGTCATGACAGCTGTCTATAAGCATAAGGGACATGTCTATTGGCCAACTTGACCCTTGTTAGAAAACAAAACAAATACAAAAAGAGAATACTGCAGCCTGGGACTGCCGAGCCGGGTCACTGGAGATTTTCCAGACAAACGCCGCACAGAGGAGGGGAGGGGAGGAAGAATAAAAAGGACAGGCTCAGAATCTCATTTTAACAGACCGCACACAATCTGGGCTCCCACAGAACTATCTCTGCCTGACCGCTTTCTATTTATCCCTTATCAGTGTTTACCAACCGCTAGTTTTCTTTCATTCACACTGTGAGGCAGTTCTCTTACTATCAGTCAACAGCTGACACCGTGGAACAGCCTCAAAGGCAAGAGGAAGGGATCAAAACTAAACCAAAGCTGTTTAAACAATACAACAGAGGAAATAAATTCATAAATCCTAATTCTTCCCAACCCACGAGGGTATAAGCAGATCCTTTATAGTTAGGCCAACAAACAAAACCGCAGCCAATGAGGTACATTACAATCAAGGTATATTCTGAAATATATTTAGAAAAAAAAATACAAATAAAAAAAAAAAAAATCCAATGTATTATTAATTGGAAGGATTTTACAGGCTTGCCATGTCAAGCACATTTATGAATTAAGTGAAAGGATTTTTGTCTTTTTGTTTTATGGTGTTTTTAGGAAAATCCCATCTGATTAATCATTCTAACATTTTCACCACAAAAAGGTTTTGAAATGTATTTTATGTCTACACCACCTAAAGATTAACACAATTCTCAAAATCTTAAAGTTATAATAAAATACTTAATTTCACGCATCTTCTCTGGAAGAGGCAACTTTTAAATAAATTTGGTATCAGCGTAAAACATGTAATTAAGGCCTCGATATTTACCGTGTTTGTTTCTTTTTAGCTGTATTTTCTTAATGTGCAAAACATATTATTATGCAATGAATTTTACATCTAACCAGTTTTAAACAAACTCACAACTACTTTGGAGTACTGCCTAAAATGTCAGTGCTACAGTACGGTTAGACTAAAACCCAGGAACTACAAATCCCGCTATTGCTCTACAATTTTCCCCCTTTAGGATACAGAAACAGCACTATTTTTACTACAGTGCTTTTTGCAAAAGTTAAGCAATTAATTACATTTATCCGATCACCAGCTGCTCAACAGCAGATGGATAATTTCTGAAAACCTTAGTTGAATCAAATCCACATAATTCATTTTTCGGGATTAACTGGCTGAAGTTTGAGTTGGGGGCGAAAACAGGTAACACGATGTGTTTTAAATCGGTTCTTATTTGTGTGATTCAGTCAGGCTGCCCTGAAGACACGTGGGTTAACATTTCCAGAACAATAAGAAATTTTTGGCAATTACGCCTAAAACAGCTTTTTAATTTAGTCAGAGTAAAAAAAAAGATCTACATTCCCCATGCAGTTGCTGTGCGTTGTCCAACAATGTGGAGGACTTAGTAAGTTTCTAAATCGGTTTCCTCTTACAGCAGGTACCATGGACAGTTCCTTGACGGCAAACACCGGTTACATTAACGTGTTGTGTAGCAACTAACATCCCTGGGCTTTGAAGAGGAAGGAGTGTGGATGAGAGAGGAGTAATGTCTTTTACTTATCACTGCTGTAACACACAGACCTGCCACAGCCCTTTGCTGCTTTCATAATTAAAACAAAATGTAGAGGTGCAACTTTGAAAGCACTTTCTTTCTGTTTCATGAATGACTGGCTTAACTTTTTCCAGTAATGTCTCGGATTTTAAGGTTTAAGCCATATTTGTGAATTTAGGTGTGTGTTAGGAAACAAGCTAAAGAATAATTATATTTCCAAAGAACTGGAATATGTTGGACGGCGAAATATGCAGACCCCCCCAGAAAACTGTGCACGTGAAATGTTATTTACAACTTAGATATAGAGGTGACAATCTGCTGAAGTTTTAAAGTCATCCAGCAACGTATTTACACCTTTTTCATTCTTCTCTTTTGTTTTTTTTTCAAAAAGTCCTCCTTTTGCCAAGCAAGAGTCAACTTAAAGACTGCTCTTACGGGGTAGCCGAGAAGCCATTAGTGAGCTACGAGTTACTGGTAAATCATGAACTTTTCTAGCTAGCATCCAGCCTCCTGAATCAATAGTTGCTCTGGAGACTGCTGAGTGGTTTGACCCCTCACAATTTGTTTAAACCTAAGTGTTGTCCACGTCTGACACAAAAAGTTAACCTCTCGACTGAATTATCATCACTCCAGGTTGAGGATTAGCATATCTTTTCAAACTTTAACATGATTACCAGGCAAATAATTGCAGAAATTTAGTGTTGTTTCGCCCCAGCTGAATACTCTTTGGAACATGTGAGGCAAACTGATTTGTAATTTACTTTATTGTCACAATTTGGATAGTTTTCAAACTTCCAATACAAATTATTTGAAAGCCAGAACAAGAGGCAATAAAGCACTTGCCTGACTGCTCAAACATGTTATTGGAACAGAAAGTAAATGTTTAAGTGCATTAG